CGGGGCGGACTCCATGGCGGCGGAACGGGACGCAGGCGGCGGTCTGGCGCGGCCGGCCGGTGGCGAGGCACGGAGCACGGCCCTGAGCAAAGCCATCCGCCCCGCCGAAAGCGTGGTTGCCCCGAGCGGAAGCCCCGGGGCGCCGAGCACCGCCTATTCGCCTGCGCGGGCCGCGCCCCCAGAAGCTTAGTTCTGATTGGCTTCCTCGCCCGCCGGTCCGTAGTGACCTACTGGCTGAGAGGACTATTAGGCCGGTGAAGCTGCGGCCCGGGTGACTCGTGGAGGGGCGCCCCCAAATCAGCCTTGTGGTTCTGGTCCCGGCGCCGGCAGAGGGACCGAGGCTGAGGACCGCTGGGCGAGGGCTACCGCGGCAGAATAGCTGGACACCGAGGCCACACCTGCCAGTGTTCCTGGGCCTGAGGCCCGGTGGGAGCTGGTCGGTTAAAACTCCCCCTCGCCCCCTCCCGATCACAGGAGCGGGAGGACGACGCCAGGAGCTACTCCACACTGAGGGCTGGTACCCGGTCCTTAGCGCCTCTGTGGGAACCGTGTCCTGAGAAATGACCTGTTTCCTTGTTCTCCCATTCTCTGTATGTTACTTGCAGTCCAAGAGGGCAGCGATCCGGATAATGGGGTGCTGGTTTCCCCAGGACAGCACTCAGTGATGACAGCCCCAAGGACAGCCACAGGCCAGTTACCCCAGCGGGGGGCGGGCACTGCCCAGGCCAGACGTTTGGGCAGGTGCTGCAGGATGAAGGGTTCAGATGCCCCCAGGGTGCTGACCTGGCCCCACAGTAAAATCAGATCCTGAGCTGGGCCCAGGACACTGGACCAAGGCACATGCTCCCTCCTGGCCATGTCGCCTTTGCCCCAGCCCTCCTGCATTCTATACCTCAAGGAGCTGCATCCAGAACTTTCTCCTAGAGCCACAGCATGGGTGTGAGACCGTGTGTGACTCCAGCTCTGCCTGTGGGGTGGTGTGACCACGTGAATCCCTCCCTGCCATTGTGGGATGTAGGGGATGCAGGTGCTCAGGGCTCATGGAGCCCTGTCAGCATGCACAGCAGCCCCACCCTGTAAATCCACCGGGGCTGTCTGGGGTCCCTACCTCGACTGCCATGGCCCACAGCCTGTTTCCAGCAGCCTCCTTTGTCTGGAGTCCTCCCTCCCATTCCCCAGGCCAGGCTCTCCTGACCCATCTCCCAGCCCTGGGTCCAGTCTGGCTCAGTCTCATCTTCGCTGGGGAATGTGCTGGAACTGGGTTGTTGAGGGTCTGTGAATGCCAGACTGGCCACGCTCACAGCCTTGAAGGCTTGAGGGGCACCCAGTCAGCACAGTAGCCTCCTCAGCCCTGGTGGCTTTGCCTCTGGCCACACCAGAGTGGCTCGGCCTCCTCAATGAGTGCTGGTAGCCTGGGTCCAGTGGCTAGGTGGGCAGGAGCTGGTCCATCCTTCTGGTACTAATGCTGTCAGCTGTTGGCAGCCTTGAAGGTGCAATGTGAGAGGTTCTATTGCCCAGGAAACCAAGACAGCCGGGCCTGGAGGTGAGTGCGCAGGAGGCTGCAACACAGAGCATGGTGCTGTCAAGGAGGTTAGCCTGGCCACAGCTACTGTCCACACGGGGTGGGCAGTCACCATGGTCTCAGTCCAGCATACAGAAGGCACCATCCTGGGTGTCAGTGCAGCCCCTGCATGGTGTTGGTTCCTTTCCCTGTGGCCCATGGCTTCCTAGACCAGAGCTGTCCAGGCCTGTCTCACCACCAGAACCCCAGGATCCTTGGGCCGCCTTGGGGAGCAGCCTCCCTTCTTGGAGTAGAGGATTGGCAGAGGTATTGGGGTTGTTGGGGCCTTGAGGGCCCCCCTTTCCCTACCCCATCTGCCCTCTGCAATTCCCCCCCCTCCCACCCTGAAGCAGCCTCTTGGCAAAGTGGGGAGATAGCTGGGGAGCCCCACCCCTCCCTGGCTTTCCTGAGGTTCCTTAGTACTGGCTTCCTTGCTGACTTGTAGGCTATCATGGTGTCCATGTCCCACAGGTCCTCAGCCCTGGAAGTGGTTGCCTGTAGACTTGGGCACCCACTCCGTCCGCCAGCTCCAGCTAGTCCCCATTGCTGCTTGATCTGGCCCTAGAAGTTCTTTTCCTGCCTGCCCGGTTACCTGTTGGGATCAAAGCCACAGGCCCAGGACCAGGCTGTGCCCTGGGCTGAGAGCAGGAGACCCTCCTCCCTCCTAGGTCTCCGAAGCTGGGTCCCCCTGCCCATCTTGACTCTGAGTCACAGTCTATGTTGCAGAGAACCTGGCCGGGTGGGCAGTCAAGGGCCTTGGCCACTCAGGCAGGCGCCCTCTCCAGTGTCCACATTCCCTTCGGTGCTTATTTATTTGAAAAATGCACACCTTATTATATTTCTGCTCACCAGAATAATACAGATGAAGAAATTCAGATCTTTAAGACCAAGGTGCAGATGCGTATTTCCCCAGGCCCTGGCTGCTGTCCACTGTGATGTGTACTGCACTCTGCTCTGATATGCCCCAGGTATCTACCTCATGCCTGAGTCCTCCCTAATCTATTTGTTTAGTACTAGAGATTGACCCAGGGTATTGTACATACTAGGCAAGTGCTCATCCCTTTTCGAGACAGGGTGTTGTCTTAAACTTATGATCCACCCACTCAGCCTCCTAGAATGCCAGGGTTGGGGGTGTGAATCACATGCCTGGTGGGCCTTGAGGTCACCCACCTGGCTCTAAAAACAGTCCTTCCCTGCCCAAGCCAGGAGATGGGCAGCCCGACAGTTTCTTACCCTCAGCCCTATGGCTGGGCAACGCCATTTCCACTTCAACCTGTGGTTGCCTCTTCAGCTTCTGAAGTAGCCCAGACCCAGGCAGGGTTTTAACCCTGCATCCCTCCCACTGCCTGAACCCTGGCTCCAGGCCCACTGTGTACCTTTCCTGCTGCACTCAGGGCCTGCTACACTCAGCCGTGGTCTGGGATGCCCTGCCTCACAGATGCCCCAACATGGACCCAGCAATGCTGGGCAGAGACCAGGCATGCCCTCTGGCACCAAGACATCTTGCTGGGGTGACAGCTGGAGGACACTAGGCTGGGAGACCAGTCAGGCTGGACAGGGCTGCTGCAGGGCCCAGCCTGCACCCACCTGCTCCTCCTCACTGTGCCCAGCCAGACCTGGGATTCCAGCACCCAACCTGCGCCTGTGGAAAGAAGACCCTGTCAGGGCAGGCTTGGTAGCCCTGAAGCCCCCAGCCTACCTGTCGGCCACTTAGCTGCTGCACCAAGCCGACCCAGGCTATGGGGACAGAGACCCAGCACTGGACAGGCAGCCACCCTTCCTAGAGGGACAGACACATGGGTATGAGCCCACCCAGCACCTGAAAGCACAAGGGCCTTTCATTCCTGCCTTCCCTCCACAGGGGCAGGTAGGGCTCAGTACCCTCCTTCCACTGTGCTCAGGCCACCTGGCTAGGCGTGGGTGTGCACTACCAAGGGTGGGATCTCTGCTCTCTGCTGAGGTATGTCCCCTAGGGGCTCCCCCAAATTCACCTAAGCCCCATTTCCACACAGTGCACAAACAGGAGCTTCCAAAATTAGAATTTATTTTCATTTCTAAAGAATAAGTCCACAAGTACGAGACAGAGCTGCCCAGCGGCTTGGCAGCCCGGCCCAGTTCTGCAGGGCGTCCCTGATTGGATTGACAGTCAGCACAGGGACAACTAGACATGGTGGGACCTCGACACATGGCTGGGACAGAGTGCTGGGCACAGGCCACCAGGGTCCTGAGGGAGGCGGCGTTCTGTTGGGCCGCCTGGGCCCATAGCCCTGGGCGGCACATGCACCCACTCAGGACAGAGACGAACACAAGGCTCCTGTCTCACTGGACTTAAGGCTTGTATTTCCTGACATTTGCTCCAGTTTGCTTTTCTCTTTAAAGTTAAAATTACCTGAGTAAAAAATTTTCAGACATTAAAAAAGCCCAAAACACAGAATCTCTGCAGGCGGAGACGCAGCAGGTGCGCTACAGGCTGGTCCAGGGTGGCCACAGCTCCCCAGCCCGCAGTGGAGAGCTGTGTGCCCCGAGCGTGCGCCCAGTGGGGCCCTGGGAACCAGATGCTCGGCGCACAAGGCACAGTGAGGTAGGGTGCAGCCAGGGCCCGGCCCTGCTGTGGGCAGGGCCAGCGTGTGCCGGAGCCCCTCCCAGCCCGCCATGTGGTGGCCAGGCCCGCACTGCACCCTGAGGCCCCTGAGGTGCACACAAGTGGGGCTGCGGGGGAGCCTGAGCCCAGACAGTTAAATAATCCTTTATTGGGGTGGGCTGGGGGTGGGCAGGCGAGGCTTGACCTGGGCCCCCATGGGGGGTGCTTGGATGCTCCCAGGAAGGTTCCTGGGTGGTGCCGGCTCCTCAGGAGCCCCCGGCTGCAGCAGGGGGTGGGGGTGGGGGGCGCAGCTGCCCTGCACGGCACCCCTGGGCGAGGCCTTCTATGGGCCCGGCCGGGCTGCAGACGCCTTCTGCAGGCAGGACTGTGCCACAGGCAGTGACAGCAGAAGGCTTACGATGCGGCGGCCCATCCAGTACAGGCTGTAGCCCAGCAGCCCGAAGAAGGAGGCCTTCACGGCCAGGCGGGAAACTCGGCCCGTGATGGACGGCGGGGGGACACTAGGAAGGGAGGAGCAGGCTGGGCCTGGCTGGGGTGTGAGCCCTTCAGCCCCAGCCCCCAGTGTGTGGGTCCCTGGGCCCATCCTGCTAGGGGTGGGGCGGGAAGTGGGGCTCCGTGGGGGCAAAGGGTGCTCACGTCATGATCTCCTGGATGTTGAGGTCTGTGCTCCAGTTCTTCTCGATGCCGGGCACATGGCCCATGCCCACCACGCCCACGACCACGGAGGGCACGCACTTCCTGGGCTCGGCTATGGGGAGGGCGAAGGTCAGCAGTGTGCTGCAGAAGCCACACTGTCCCGGAGAACCCACCACCATCACTGCCACCCTCACCCTCCGAGGCTCGGGGCAGCTCGAGGCGCTGTGCAGCCTGCCGCAGCATGTAGGTCAGGTAGATGTCGCGCTCGGACACGATGGTGCGGTGCAGGTCAGGGAACTCGCCGATCATCTCGGCCATCATCTGCTCCAGCAGGTCCTTCTGCTTGCAGCGCTCCACGTCGTCTTTGCTGCTGGTAGAGGCATGCTGCCAGCCCTGCGGGACAGGCTGCTGGCCCAGGGCAGGCTCTGCAGCGCAGGTCTTGCGGGTGCAGTGGGAGGAAAGGTGGGGGCTTCACGCAGACAGCACACTGGAGCAAGCGGCGGGTATGGCTGGGGAGCGCCCATGGCCAGGCGCTGTCCTACCTGATGGGGTCTGACAGGAAGCACAGGCCCCAGGCCAGCTTGACCTTCTGCCAGAAGGACAGTGCGGCAATGGCCCTCTTGAAGGTAACAGGGATGGGGCGGTCGCCCAGGTGGAACTTGCAGAAAGGCACCTTGCTGGCCTGGAGCAGAGGCTATGTTGGGCACAGCCCTGAAGCTCCCACTGCCCCTTGCCGGGGTCAAGTCCTTGCCACCCCAGGTCATGCCCACGCCCACCTCCTTGAAGGCCTCTCTGAACTCGCCACCAGGGGCCATGCCCAGTTGCTCGGTGATGTGGGCTGACACCTTCAAGAGCAGCATCTGCATGAGCCCAGACATGAGCCCATTCTGTGGGAGAGAATGCGCCACGTCAACCACACTGCGCTTGTGTGGGGAAGGAGGCGGGGCAGCGCCGGGCCCCCAGCCTCAGGGGCCTCCCACAGCAGGCCACACCCTGGCCTCCAGCCACTTCTGCCACACGTGTCCTCTTAGGAAAGCTTTCTTTACAGGACAGCCGGGGCGCTGAGTGGGGCACCTACACCGTGATGGACACTTGTGCCATGGTGCCAACCCCAGGCAAACAGGGGCACGGGTGAGGAACACAGGACAGGGTCTGTAGTCATGTGGTGCTGCTGGGTGGGCCAGGCTATGCTGAGACCCCAGACTCTAGTCCCACAGCCTGGCTGCCTCGTGCCTTGGGGTCAGAGCAGCACTTGCCTCCCCACTCCCTGAGACCACAGATCAGCCCTCTCTCCCACGGGCTGAGGTCAGGTTCCACCCAGGAAAGTCCCCGGCAGGCTGGGCACCATGCACCAACCAGTGGACTGGGCCAGAGCCCGGGCACAGCGCACAGGGACTCTGGCCCTGCCCCAGCCTTTCCCACATACACACCTGCCGCACAGCCTGCTGCAGCTTCTCCAGGCTGACCTCCTTGGCCTCACGCAGCAGTGTCCTCTCGTCCATCTTCAGCATGGACACTCGGTACTGGCAGAGCTCCACGACTACCACGTCGGGCTGTACCTCACGGATGGTCTGGAAGGCACAGTCACCCCTGAGGGACTCGCCCGCTGCCCTGTACTAACACCTGGCTGCCAATGACCCTCAATTCTTTGAGCAACTAAAGGATCTCAGAACACATTCTGCACTTGCAGACAAGGTGCTCTGGCTACAGGGCAGGGGCCACAAAATCGGAACACAGCTGTGGGTGACCTTGAAATGCACAGTGGTGGAGGGTGTGGCTTGATGGCCCTCACCTTCACCACATCCCGCTTGCTGTCGTCACTGAAGTGGGCAGTGCCCACCACATACACTCTGCTCCCGTCCTCAGCCACAAGCTGGGTCACCGTGCGTGGCAGGTTGGGCTGCTCACGCCGTCGCTTCAGCTTCATCTCCAGGAGTAGGCTGAAGGCGTCCACGTCAGCTGCAGGGACAGCAGGCCCATGGTGGGTGAGGCCCGCCTCCGGGCTCTGGGGGCTGCGGGTGGGGTCCAACTCCCATGGCATGCACCTTGACAGGCTGCCTGGCTGCTGTGGGGCTCAGCAGCCCCAGGATGGGGGACAGCAGGGACAAGGTGCTCAGCCCCAGGTGTCCCAGTCATGCTCCATTCCAGCCAGGGTACTGGGGACGCAGTGAGGGCCCTGCTGCCCTCACCTCACTCATGCTCAGAAGCCCCCTCCTGCACCCACAGGCCAGAACTGCTTGCAGCACCCCATCCGCGCAGAGGGTCCCACAAGCTTCACACCCCAAGGCTCTATGGGAGACGTACACAGGTTCTGGGCTTCTCCAGAAAGCACCCTGGGCACCGACTCTGAGGCCCCTGACGTCATGATGGTTTCCATGTCAGCCTGGGGTGGGAGGGAGAGGTCAGGCTGGTGTCCACATGCCCTGGAGAGGCCGCTTGTGAATTCCACCCCCCAGGTTAGGACCCCCACCTTCCCCTTGGAGGGGCTTCCTGCCGGGGTGCAGAAAACCTGGTCTCCACAGCAAGTTCTTGGCAGAGAATGAACCAGAGGGACCTGAGGAGGCCACAGGGTAGATGGTGTCCCTGTGGGACGGCCTGGCAGCCAACACCCTCACCTCCTGAGGTGGCTGCTCCTCCCCTTCCATGGCTGGGCGGCAGCTTCTGAGTGCCTGGAAGATGCCTAGAAAACAGGACACAGTCCTCACCTGGGGCTCTGGGGCTAAGCAAAGGCACCCTGAATGACCCTTGCACTCTCTGCCCTGACTCTGCCAGGTCCCGGGTGAGGCCTGACTGGAAAACCCAGAGCCTCCGTGAGCAACGTGATGGACAGGCAGTGCTCGACCCGCACCACCATGGGTGCTCATGGTGCACGCTCAAGGCCTCTGAGCGGGAGCCCTGCAACCCCACCAGCAGTGACGGTCAGCCAGAAGAGGGACCCTGAGGAAGGCAGACACGGTGGCACCCTTGGGAGCCAGGACACTATCCCGCTTAAGCGAAGAGAGATGCGTAAGGCAGAGGGAGCCCAGGGTGGCTTACAGAGGGCCAGCTCACAGTGTCAGGGCTTCTTGCTGTGTCCTCACAAAGGACCTACAGCTCTGGGGACACAGGCCCAGCATGCGAGATGCACACGAATGATAGTCATGCTGACCAAAGGGGCACAAACGCCCTAAATCAAACCTATGCCTGAGGCAGCTGAGGCCCTGGTGAGGACCAGGGTCCCACTGAGCGATGGCCGAGTGCCCCATCCTTCTGCACAGCTCTTCCTGAACTTTCTGAGTGGGATCCAAAGGTGTCCCATGCTTCTAGACAGATGCCACCTGGCAGAGCCATTGGACAACCCAACTGCAAGCTGTGAGCCTTGTGCCGCAGGAGCTCAGCAGCTGAGGGGAGAGGCCGTAGCACCTGACCACGGCTGGTTCCTTAACTGACACTCCACAGGGGGAAGGATGCCAGCTCAAGGGCCAAGGGTGGTGCCTGAGTTTGGGCCCCAAGTTGAGAAATCTGTTATTGGAACCTAGCTGCTGGATGCTGTAGCGTTAGGGAACTAAAGTACCCCAATTTGCTTTCAGCCACGCCAAGGCAGCGCGGCATGTTCTGAGGGTCTGTGTGCATCTGAGCTCTGCACCAAGGGGACCCTCAGGAGGAGCCATGACCCCCGGGTGCGGGCGGGACCCTTGGGTTCACTTCCATCTCTTCATTGCAGCACACATCTCAGAGCTTTCACAATGCAGAGAAAATGGAGAGCACAAGAGTGTGTGGTCTCTCAAGCTCCTTTCCCCTCCACATCTTGTGGGCCTGCTGCACACGCATACCCAGGCCCTCAAGCAGGGTCTGCCAGGTCGATAGTGACCACCTCCAGCTCCCCAGCTGCAGAAAAGGAACAATTCTGTCTGACCTCTGGGCTGGCAGCATCGCTCCGGGCATAAGCAAGGGCTTGATGTGGCACCCAGGTCACAGACGTGCTCTGGGGCCCATGGAGAAGGGGAAGGCTGTCCGGAGCCCAGCTGGGCCCTCTGGAAGAGAAAGTGGTATGGGCAGGGGGCAGCAGCGTCAGGGCCAGGAAGCAACTGGGCTTCAGGGTGCAGGCAGGTCAGCAGAGACCAAAGACAGCAGCAACCAGACCCTGACTGGGCCTTTGAGTGCAGGCCTCAGGGCCTGCCCCGCAGGCACAGGGCTGGCCCACTCCTCTCCACTTGGGCTGCTGGGTCTGGAGCCTACCCTACCTGGCATCATAAAGGCCAGTGTCTCTGGGAAGTGCCATTGCTGGCTCCAGGTCTGGCACGGCCAGATCTCTGCCAAAGCCCACAGACAGCAGGTCCTTTGAGCCTCCTTCCCTTCTCAGATGAAACCAGCTGACACAAACGGGAGGTGTGCTGGGAAGGAAGGCAGGTGGCTGTGGGCCCTCCCCTTTCATGAACCCGGAAGTCAGAGGACAGTCAGCTGGGGTCCACACCGCAGACCCACAACTGTAGCACCACAAGGGATGCGAGACAACCTTCCACAGTCCAGCTTCACACATGGAAGCAAACAACTCTTATCGAGGAGCAACACAAGGCTGCCAAAGCAGGAGCAAAAGAAACTTCTTAAAACACATCCTGTGCAGGTGGGCGGGCAGGAGGCTGTGGCACTGCCAGCGAATGGGAAAAGAACACGTGGTCTCAGCCTGCCCTGCCCTTCCACAGGCGCCCAGCTGCAGGGCTGCGGTCAGCCAGGCCAACCCACCCTCTTCAGCTTGCCCAGGGTGTACCTGGGCCCGAGGAGGCCAGGCGAAGGCTCCACTGAATGACCTACCTCTGGGTGCCAGGGGCCTAGGGGGACAGAAGCCTGTTGGACGCGGAGCCCCATGGGGGGGGCACCCAAAAGCAGTAGGAGACCCTGTACAGCTCTGCCTTCTGGGGACAGGGGAAGGTATAAAGGCGACCAAGGTCCCCAGCACCAGGAGCCTGTGATTAAGTCTTAGTGTCTGATGCTGTCACACTGTGTACTTTCCTCCCCTCACTGTATGGAACTTCCGTCTGGAGACCTGAGCCTAGCCTCTACCTCTCTGCACCTGGAGGTCCAGCCTAGCCCTGCGCTCCCCACCTGCCCTTTCCAGACAGGCTCAAGCCCTTGGCACAGACCAGCAGACCCCTACCTGCCACCCTCCAGGGGAACAAATGCCTGTCCTCCTTCCTAAAACCCAGCAGCTGGGCGGCAGCTCCTGGCCTCATCCTCAGCTCGGCCCCCAACCAGCTCTCCCTGCTGAGCAGGACTGGGTCCCTGCGAACCCCACAGCGGAAGCCGCCTCCCGCCAAGGCCAGCTGGCAGCCCCGACACCCCTGCTGGCTGGCGCCTGGCCTACAGCAGGGCTTCCACGAGGCTCAGGCCCCAAGGGTTCCCAGCAGCTGGTCACCCAGGCCGAGTACGGACGGGTGTCCACACGTGAAACAGGGCAGCAGCCGCGCAGGGCATGGCCACGGCTCCCCCAGGCCACACGCCCTGCCCAGCCCCCGCGGCGCACCCTCTGCGAGGTCCCCTATCAGGAAGCGCCCTGTCGTCTCCGATTCGCACGCGAAGCCCGAACCCCAGGTGGGTGCACTCAGAAGTGAAGACCGGCCCGCTAGGGGTTCACGCCCCCACGCGCGGGGACGCCGGACAGCTCCGCGGGGAGCGGCGAGAAGGGCTTCCCGGGGGCCAGGCACAGCCCTGCCGGCTCCGGACCTCGATCCCGGACGGCGGCGAAACGTGCCCCTCAACTTCCAGCCGGTGACAGCCGGGACGCCCATCGCCCTCACCCAGAAGTTGCCTCCTGCTCCGCCCGGCGCCCACAGGCGTCCCCGGAAGCCCTCACCGCCCGCAGGGAGAGCCGAGCGCGGCGGAGAGCGCAGCGGGCCAGGCCCCGACCTCCTCACCGCGGCCGGAGCCGGGTCCGCG